TAAATATAATACCATTATCACATGCAGGGAATTGAGCACTAACATAATTACTATTATTAAAATACAATCTATATGCCTGGCTGCGGTGGCTCAGTGGTTAAGTGTTGACCTATGAAGCAGTCTGCTACCATCGCTGTGCTCACCAGCCGTGAGCCTGGCTCTGGCTGAGTGGTGCTTCCCCTGTGGGAGCGTGCCCCCCAGGGGGCAGTTCCTGCATTGAGTGCCTGTCTCCTGGTGGTCAATGTGCGTCATAGTGACTGGTTCTTCTGCCGGTCATTCCACCGTTCAGTCATTTTGAAAAATATGTAGTCTCTATTCACATTTCTCTAGTTGTCCCAATAATGTTTGTTTTAGCTGTATTTTTTTTTTAAATCGAACCTGGGACCCTTCAGTCTGCAGGCCGATGCTCTATTCACTAAGCAAAACCAGCTAGGCTAGCTGTTTTTTAAAAACCAATTTAGTATCCAGTCAAGAATCACACATTGTGTTTTGTTGTCATGTTTCTTTAATCTTCTTTACTCTAAAAATAGTTCCTAGCCTTTTTTTGTGTGATATTGGTATTGTGACAAATGACATTGATGTTTAAAACTTTTAGAAATATATATATTTTTATTGATTTTAGAGAGGAAGGGAGAGAGGGAGAGAGAAACAGAAACATCAATGATGAGAGAGAATCATTAATCATTGATTGGCTGCCTTCTGCACGCCCCACACTGGGGATGAAGCCTGTACCCCAGGCATGTGTCCTAACCGGAAATTGAACTGTGACCTCCTGGTTTATAGGTTTTGTTTTGAAGTCGGCCTATTGTTTTGAAGTCTGTTCCTCAGTTTGGATTTGTTTAAATATATCTTCATGGCTAGATGCAACTTAAACAATTTTTGACAGGATTGCTATAGGGATGTGTCTTTCTCACTGTATCACATCATCGTTATTGGTGCTGTTAAATAGGACAGCTTGGTTAAGTTGATATTTGTTAAATCTCACTATATCCTCTTCCCTACAACTTGCCACTTAATGGTGGTTACAATAACTTCTTCAACACTTTGTGAAGTCTCAGCTATTTGTTGAATAACTTCTTCAGAAAAAAAATAAAAAAGCCTTAAAAGTTTTCTCGGTACATAGTTCATTTAGGACTTCATAAAAGGTAGATATTATACACTCATTGACAATTTATTGACTAAAGGAATGCTTAACATATATTAGCATTTACTCTATTAGTTGAGTTTAAAAACGTTATCTTACTAGTCAAAGAATTGAGTAAATAAGCTTCTGCCAGCTAGAGTCTGCAGGATACAGTACCTGTTTAAGCATCCATTGTGCTACTGGTACCAAAACCAGAGGTTCATTAAAAAAACATGAAAGAGGGTTTCTGTCCTTTGGATATTGGTTCTAGAATAGGCTGATGATGTTTTTGGATTCTTGCATTACAATATTGATTTGGGTAATGAGGCAATAACTTGAAAGAGCCAGGAACAGATTTCCCAGGGCATGGACTATTTTGCATAACAGGAGGGGCCATGATTTGGAAATGAAGTTGTAACAGTGGCACCTGGGATGGATCCATTACCCTTGAGGGAAAATAACAGTTGTATTTTTCCCCAGTCCAGTTTGTTCCAGGCAGGGATGTCTTAGTTGCTCTGTATTTTAGGGCATACAGGGATTAGTAACTCAATTTCAAGCAAAGATAGGGCTGACTTCCTGACTAAGTAGGCAATGATGACATATGATTTGATTTGTCATTTTCAATTTTAAAAGAACCATATCACATATACTGATTATGCATTGTCCTTCCTGTGTTCCATTCCTTTTAAATCTGATATTCTTTGTGACCTCAGTGCAGTAGTGATCATTTGGGCCAAGCAGCACTTTGTGAAGTCTCAGCTATTTGTTGAATGACTAGTAGCATTTGGTAAGCTTCACATGCTCATTTGATTACAGTGCTGACATCACTGTGCTGATGACCAAGGCCTAAGTCAGATCCTTGTGTTAACTGCCGACTAGTTTTACTTATTGACTGGGAAAATCACCCATTTGTTTGACCCATGTTTTTGAAATTTTGTATCATCATTTTCATTATATAGCCTCACTCCTGGCTTAAGAACTTACAGTAGTTTTTGTTGCACATTATGTCAAGCCCAAACTCCTTCCTGAAGTTTTAGGATTCTGCATTACTGGTTTTCATTTGTACAGTCCAGTCTTACACACAATTCCATAATTATTGTCCACTTCAGTCAAGCTTACTACTGTGTGACCTTAAGCCAGTCC